GTGATATTGGCAATATTTGAAATACTAGTAATAAGCATGCCGAATTGTATCACATGCATCAATTAATTGTAATTTCTAACAGAAACATGAAAAAAATGCGTATTTACAGTCGGGGGAAAAAAATATTTAAATATGTTTTGTTTCACCACGAGTGTTTCATAATTTTTAGCAGGGAGTAAAATAACTTTTAGAGTTAAGTAAAATAAAACATTATACACCATTGTGGAGTATACTTGATAATTAAGATACGTTAAATGCAAGAATGAATAAAGATGTTCGATATGTATAATTTGATCCTAGTTATAAAAAGGAACTTTAATCAAATTTTATGCATAGAATAGGTATATAAAAGAATATTTTTTTCATTTTTAGTGATCTATTTTCCATTGTCTGTCTGTCTTTCTCTCTCTCTCTCTCTCTCTTTATTTTTGAAGACTAAAACAAATAATAAAAGATAGTTATTTTTATTTCGTAATGATATAGATTTCTTTCTTTCTCTCTCCTCTTTTCTCACTCTCAAACAAATACAGATACACCTCCTTTGTCAGAAGAGTTCCAATAAGTTGATCGTAACTTGCTAGTCGTAAGTGCTATGTTTACGATAAGTTTTGTGAAAAGCTTGTTTACGTGCACCTCTAGCAATCGTAAACGTTATCATACGTTTACGATTTGCGATTTTGTTAGTGAAATGGTCGCCTGCAAAGTTCATAGCAGCACCATAGCTTGGTTTAGTGTAAAAATTTATTGATAAGAGTGCCATTCAAAATGTTTCACCCGTTCAGAGGACAAATAAAATGATGACGACTTTGTTGCACAATGACATGCTGGTGAGATAATTATATATTCACATACAAAAGTATTTGTCTGTAAATTATTTCCTCCCACAGGTTTAAAACTGCTCGTGGTAGCTATTGCTAGCTACACTGTTTAGGTCTCTGTTATAGCTTACAGTCTAAGCATCATTCTTCAGAAAAGGATCGCTTAATTATGCATCAGATCTAATGAATAAAACTATGAGATAAGGTAAGTCCATTTGAGGAAGATATAAACAATAACCTAAAGAAATAAAAAAAACTAGATGTGTTTGTGAAACACTATGCACCCGGTGGCAACAAAGTTCCAAAACACTATTTTTAGCATAAAGGTCACAGTCAAGGTCACAAGGTCATTGGCCTTGGTGTCATTTGAAAGACCTTAATTAGTATTGCAAGCATACCAAATATGAGGTCTCTATCTCTCATGGTTCAAAAGTTATGGCCAAATTTCAAAAAAGCTATTTTTAGCATATAGGTCACAGTCAAGGTCAATGACCTTGGTGTCATTTGAAAGAGCTTATTATTAGTGGAGTAAGCATACCAAATATGAAGTCTTTATCTTTCATGGTTCAATAGTTACTGCAAAAGTTTGAAAAAGCTATTTTTAGCATATAGGTCACAGTTAAGGTCATAAGGTCATTGACCTTGATGTCATTTGAAAGAACTTTTTTTGTGGAGTATGCATACCTAATATGAAGTCTCTATCTCTCATGGTTCAAAAGTTGTGGTGAAGGTTAAAGTTGACAACAGACAGACAAACAGATAAACAGACAGGACAAAAACAAAATATATGCCTCGGATCTATCGATTCGGGCGCATAAAAATCAACTTTTAAAAAGCAAGTATAAACAAATATATACAGGCATGTATAAGTATCGTTTGTGACAGCCAGAAAAAATATTTTACACTTAATTGAAAAAATGTTCACCCTACTCCCCAGTATACTCCTTGTCTATTTTTTGATTGGAATTATAATGTTAGGTATCAAATAGATTTTATTTTTGAAACAATGTCTACACATTCACCTAACACATATTAATAAATGAAGATGTATTGAAAGAGTTATAAAGAATTGATTTTGGAAAATATATTTTGATCAACATCACAAAATTTATATCAGTGGCTCAAACTGGCAGATGATGAAATAAACAATTAAATGTTCTACTTTTCTATTTGTAACCATTATGTGTCCAGTGGCAAGGATCTTGTTAGGACAGCATAAAAAATGAAGCAAAAATGGATGTACAAATGTCAATAAATAATTTATATCCCCCCCCCCCCCCCCCAAAAAAAAATGTTTTTCTTTTTATTTCCTCCTCCTATGCGACTTTTTCATTCTGATGTTCGTAACTAAATCTATAAAAAAAAAAAAAAAAACTGGCCTAAGGGTGAAGAAAGGTACCTTTGTCAAAATGGATAATTTCAAGGCCCCTGGGTCAGGGGTACCAGGGGGGGGGGATTTTTTGCATTTTTACTTCAAAACAGGGTAAAATTACTAGTATAGACAGTTTCACTGATTAAAACTCACAATGATAAAAAGGTAAAGAAGAGTCTATTATTTCAGTAATCTTAGTGAGTGTGATAGGTCATTGAATTATTATATCATAATACAGGAAGACTGAAAGAAGAGAGGTCGGAAGAACCATTTAACATGGTGTCTGATGTTGTCAAAAGACATTTGTGTATCTGTTATGTAAATAGATATGGACAATGTACTATTATTCTGTTCAAGGAATTTTGACAAAGAACTTATTCGAGTAAAGAAGAGTCTTCAGCGATTTTAGTGAGTGTGATAGGCCATTGAATTATTATATCATAATACAGGAAGACTGAAAGAAGAGAGGTCGGAAGAACCGTTTAACATGGTGTCTGATGTTGTCAAAAGACATTTGTGTATCTGTTATGTATAAATAGATATGGACAATATGTTCATACTGTTCTAGGAATTTTGACAAAGGACTTTGTTATGAAAACAGTGAATGTACAATGGCTACCAAGAATTCTATTCAGAACAGAAAGAAGAAGTCTCAATAAGCCATTATCTGTGGTCCCCGGTCACTCGTCAAATTTTAAACTTTCATTAAAAAGGTTAAAAAGTTAATTATATTATTCTCTTATGTCTGTAGTATATGCTCCAACGTTTAAAAATTTCAAATAATTACAAAAAAGAACAAGCGAAGCTGTGTTTTGAAGGTGGGGTCCTTTGATTTTCATGAACATCAAAAGAAATTTGTGACAGGTACCCACTTCAGAGCTTTCGTAAACATCGAGCGCAGATTTGTTCAAAGTCGACATCAAAATATAATGTGTATGTTATATTTATACAGATTGTGTGAAAATATCTTTGTTGAACAACATTGCGCTCTATGTCTTCTACTTAAAAGTATCATGATTTTGAATCTGTTCGGTGAGTACATTTACATAGGATTAACCTCTTGTTGACCTGCTATGAATAGATGATATGTCACATGATTCCATTCCGCCACAGGTGAATACCTTTGGAAAGCGTGTTTTCTGTAGGAAGCGACACATGTAGCTCGTATTTGAAAAGTGCAGACAACAGCTTCCATTTTTTTTAAATAAAAAAAGGCTCTCTGTAGACTTCGATGAATATCACTTATGTTAAACCGGGACATTTTTTAATTCTCATGCATGTAATCGCAATATTCCTGTATATTGCGAAAATTAAAGCACACGCGTAGATGTATATAAATACACATTTAATCAATTTCTTGCAAAAAAGAAACAAAATATTATAAGCAGAAAATACCAAAGACGTAATAATTTCTTCACATTTAATCACCGTCTAAACAAATGCACTCGCATACTGACCACTTCAATATTCAAAGCAACTTGATACTCTTGTCACGTTTTTGGATGCTAGCTGCATGCATATAATATTTTATATAAACTCGGAAAAACTTGGAATGTATTTATAATCGAAAAGTAAATCGGAAAATTCATTGCAGAATTTACAGTGAAGTTAAGAAATATATATACATGTCAGGCACGTAGTATCTGGGGGAGGGGTGACCCATTCTTTTCAGGGATAAATCTTGAGTCATTCACCTCCACCCCACCCCCAAAAAAAACTTTCATACACCTTTACGCTGCTACAATATGAATAAACACACATTAATGTTGAAGTTTAATTTTTCAAATAAAAAATGAGTATTTTTTTAACTCCTAGTTTGGAGAAGGATTTCTTCGATCTTCTTCTTTTGCTTTATCAAATTCATGTTTCTTGTTTTTTTTTTCTCAGCCTCCCCCCTTTACAAAAGAATGGGAGTGTATGTCTGTTTGTATTTACCGTTAATTATTATGCAATCGCTTGTGCTTTTCAAACAATCATATAAAAGAAAATTATTGTAGTGGGTAAAATATTTTGACATTTTATTCAACAATGATAGATCTTAAAAAATTATTGTGATTAGAGGGATTTTCAAAACCCCGACAAAAATACCACAAGAACTAAAAAAGACTCCTACCCACCCCAAGTTAAGAAGAATACGAATGATGCAAAATAAAATTCAAACATATTGAAGATTATTATTACCCATCGTATATTGTTTATTTCATTGCGGTTTCTTTCTTTATATAATACCTAATTTAAATGTCTCCGCCCATTTGTATGTAATAGAGGAACGTACTCTGTTCGAAAGAAAATGTTCCGGAATTTGTGTGTTCAGTAGGTGTTGGAAATTGGATTGTATTTTGATATTCCAAGTTATTAATAATGATTGTACAAAATATTAATAAGAAATACTTTGTTATACACAATGAAACTAAAAATAATACCGTATCCTCATGTATATTCTATAAAATTAGGGCAAAAAAAAAGGGACCACGCTACTATACTTAAGTGGAAAACTCCTTTGTGAACATATTCAAGAATCTCAAATATTTTTATTGCAATACCAAATTCGCAGTTTTCGCACATTGTATATAGTTCTATATTTTTAAAAGTATTATTTACTTTGAATTCAAATTTTCAGGTCTAATTTGAAATAAATATAGCTTCCATCATTTATAATTTTGTTGTTGTATGTCTACTGGTAGCTATTTTATTGAAGTTGTGACATTACTTTTGGATCAACCCTTGCATAATATGTATAAGTTGAGAATTTTACTTTAGATTTGGAAATCTGTGTGTTTTCTACTAACTGAGCAATCTCTTTTTTTCAGGTTCTTTACGGATAGCCAAAGCCCTAGAGTCAGATTATGGAAAATATGAATGCGTAGCTACCAATGAGTATGGAGTGACTTACTCTTATGCTGCGATGTTATACATCAGAGGTGTGTATCTTTAGTGGCAGCTGAGGTAAAAAGAGAAATCCTTAGAGAAAAAAATGAATGCCTATTTACATTACTCAGTTTTTACAACTTCACAAGAGTTGGCTCTTGAAATCATAAATTCTGAATTGCATAACAAATGATTATTTCTTTGAGGGGGGAGAAAAAGTCTGAATGAAAATCTTGATCCCATCAATTAGTCTGAATTGTTGAACAAAGAATAATGTTTATGACTTAAAGTTGAATGAGATTCCAATGGCAGTGGACCAAAATTTGCTGCCGAGATAATTATGGAGTTACCTCCCTTAGATTGAGCAGAGCTTCTTAATATGTACATTGAACTAATACCCCAATATTTCTGTTTGTCTGGCATGACACTAAATGAAGGATGACTAGAAAATTGTTATTGAACATCTGTCTGCTATCACGATCAGACTTTTCATATCTTTTCCCCCAATTTTTCCTTGTGTACAACAAGGTTGTTAAACCTAGGGTTAGATACAATCGGACTTTATCAGATAAAAGGTAGACAACAATGTTTCATGATCATATACCCATCATGTCAGTTTTGACATAAGTAGTTCTACAGAACTCTTCCTCTTGAATTCAAAAAGAATAAAATAAGAATTCTCTGTTAGAGAAACAAAAGCATGAAATTGTATTTAAAGTAAAACTAGTCTATTGTATTGTGAATATTGTTTATCATTTTTAAAACAATGTTACTCCTCAAAATTTTTAATTTCTTTTTCTCTTTTACTATTGGGCAATTAGGAACTAATTTTTCCTCTCTCCTCACTCAGATATAATATTGATGGGTTGTTCTTTTGTTCACTTCCCTATACTTGAAAAGTATAAGTGAATCAACACCTAACATTGTTAGTAGGGCTGTGTATTGAGCAAAAAATTTCAATACGATACGATACAATATTTCTTAAAGCGATATGCTATATATTGGATTCTAAAACAAGTCCATCAAAAAAGGCTTATTAATCATTTAAGGCATGGATTTCATAAAAAAAAATAGTGTTTTATTACCCATTTCAAAGATCTTATCCTATAGTCAGTAAATAAAACACTTCCAATCGAAACTTTTAATGACTGTAAAATCAACATGTTGAAATAAAATTGTTATGTATTTTATCATAACTATAAAAATGGTGTTATTTCTTTTATAAATCTCAGTTTTGATTTAAAAAGGTGAAATATAATCTTTGCTGATTAGAATTTCCACCTTTTTAGCAGAATTAGAAGAAAAACTGCTTGTCCGATACGTATTGGAAGTAATTTCTCGATACGATATTTTTCTTGAATATTGATACGTATCGATATATCGATATATTGATACAGCCCTAATATTGTTACCAGATCTTAAGATGAATAGTGCATCATACAGACAGTGTGCTAGATATCAGGGTTATTTGTGATGTGCTAGGTTTAATCAAAGACTCTGATAATATCAGCTCCCAAGTGAAAATTTTTTTAAACAAATCACTTACAAATTGCCTACAAATTGCTTTAAAATCACTTAAAAGTGATTTGATTCAGTGATTTGTAAGCAATTCATCTAATAAATCATGCATAAATCACTTTCTACCAAAATGATGACTATGATTTGCTTACAATTTGTTATGAAAGGGTGATTTGCTTGTGATTTCTTTTCCATTTCAGACAATTTCTGAGTGATTTGTTAAACTAAGGAAATTGTTACAGTGATTTCTTCATGATTTGTTGAACTTAGCTGTTCTCCAAGGTGATTTGAAAATGATTTCTGGGACTTAGTATTTCTTCAAAGTGATTTTAAGGAGGCTCGATCATTACACCACTTTTTGATGACGTTCTACACAAAAAAATAAACCTTCATTGTGTCGACCGGTTTCCTCTGGGGACGAATTGTACAGGTACCTCTATAATATGACCCTGACCTTTAAAACGCTTTAAAAATAGATGAAACGTACATGCGGTGTTATAAACAGTGAAAAACAAAGTAACAGATTCATTATGCATAAACCAAGAAGAATTGCTGTTAAGCAGAAACAAAATAAAACAGTCAAATCTTTGCCAAACAAGTAATGTCAATTTCATAGCGATGCATGCAGTGAGATCTAGCAATGAATGACATATTTGTATGGAGGAAATTCGAGTTAAAATCTACAACCTTGTTGAAATTAAAAAAAATTACTTGCACTATTTAGTGTTGGTGTTGATTTATATATAAATTGCTTTATTGATTTAAATGTATACTCTGGCAATTTAAAGCTTTGTTCTGAATTTTAGATGTAATGTCAAACGTTTCCTATTGTTTTGAGTCTTGGAAAATTAGGAAAGATAACTAACTCTTGAAAGTGGACTTTTTATACCAAATATTTTTTTTAACTGGATTTTTTATTTCGTTTAAACATTCTTCATTCAATTTGACACATGTAATTCATTGAAATACATTCCTTGTCTATTCAGAACTCATTTTCTTAATGTTTTATGCATAGATTAAAAAGATAATGACATAAATTGTTTTTTAGGAGAGAATTATTTTTTCTAATAAAATTATTATTAGGTATTATGAGGTATTTTTACTATGTGTACTTGTCTTAAGAATATGCCCATCATTTGACACTGAAATTTCTGAAATTCTGTTAATAATAAACTTGAAATAAAACATTTCACTAAAATTAGACAAAAACTAAAAAAATTTATAAAAAATAATTATGATATCAATACCCCCATCTGGATATTTGACATCTACATTATAAGTGGTGCTGTATTGAAATCTAAAATAAACTGTGGATGTAATGAGCCACCTTAAGATGATTTGTTAACTTAGTCTTTCTTCTGGATGATTTGTAAATGATTTGTTGATCTCATTGGTCCTTCTTCAGAGTAATTTGAGAATGATTTACTTCATAACTTCCGCCTGTCTTGTTGATTGGTCAGTATTAAAAACTCTACCGCCGATTTTCATTCATCTGAGATTTGAATTGAAAGGAGCTAAATTGTGCTGTTCTAGATTCATACCTCTCTTTTTGTTGAAACTGATGTTTTTTCCATAACCATGCAGAATATAGTTTTAAGGTATGTATAACTGTATTATATGCTATCATTTCCTCCTTAGAATCAGTTAATATTCCATATGTTTACATGCAATTTATTGTTCTTCTTAACCAACAACAAAGTCAGTGGCAATTAATGTTTAAAACAAAATCTATGTAAAGCTATAAGCTTCTGCAAAGTAATGGCTTTTTCAAAGTGTCTAGACAAATATTTATTTCAGATAAGAAAACATTTACCAACTTCTAAAAGTCAACAATTAATGCTTATATCATATTCTGAATTTGGAGCCAAGTACATGTGTGTATATCTAAAATACATGATGCCATCTTAATGAGGACACATCTTAGTAAAAGTTTATAATTTAAAATACTCCTGCCAAAAGTTTTTTTTTGTTAATATACATCAAATATACATGCATGTGTGTTTCAAATATTTGAGGGATGGTTTCATGAGAATCATGCATACAAGTGCATATCCACCTGGAGTGATTTGAAAGTGATTTGTTAAACTGAAGTGATTTGTTTGCAATTTAGGCCATAATAAAAATATTCCTAGATTCTCATCCCCACCTGCCCTGATTTTATACCCCCGCCTCGATTTTTTTTATTTCTGTATTTCTTCGTCTTAATTCTGATCGGGATCGGTATTCATCTACCATTCTACTTTCGTTCTAAATCCCGCGAAAGTCGACGTGATTTTGACAGCTGAAAAGATAGTACCGTAATTGCTGTGATACATGCGTATATATTTTAAACAAGGGTCATTGGTTGAAAATGATTGGCGATGATGTGAAGTAAGAGATAATTGAACCTTTACTATGACTTTTATTCGGGTATTTAGGTAAGATTACACCGATTGATCAGGTCAATAAAAAATCTGCAAAATTGAAAAAATAAAAAATATGACATAAAAGCCGCCTGCCCGCCTCGATTTTTAAAAAAATTTGGATGAGAATCTAGCAATTTATTTATTATGGCCTTATTTGAAATTATTTGTTTGCTATTTATTCAGAGTGATTTGGTTGCAATTTGTTCAACAGAAGTGATTTCTACACAATTTATTCAAAGTGATTTCAGGGTGATTTGCTTACAATTTGTTAGGAGTGATTTGTTAGCTCATTTGCATGGGAATTTGCATCACTTACAAATCATCTTCAAATCACTGATTCATAAGTGATTTCTTAAAGTGATTTGTTTAAGGATTTCTTTTCACTTGGGAGGTAATGTTAGAACACATCCCAGTCTTATTCCAGCATATCTTCAGCCCTACTTCAACATGGTAATAGATCATGCTGATTTGAATTTAATACACTTCATGTTGAATCTACCATCATCAAATTATGATATCTTAATATTTTTAGGGTTTCAGATTAAAAGACACACCTCCCATATATAATTTGATGCCAAGTAGTCTTATCTTAATAAAGCTTAAGTAACATTTGTCTAAGAATTTTTAGAAGATTGCAATACTGTTGAAGATTGATTCAGTGGCAAATACTGAATGTTCAGAGAGTTTTGCTCTCTTAAAATATATCTAAGTACTTGAAGCCTTTTAAGATTTTAATGGCAGTTTCTGTGTCATTTTTCATCAATGCATGCAAGAATTTATAATAAAGCCACAAAAAAGCACGCATATAAATGTTACGTTTTACTTGACATAAAGCATAGCTTTAATAAATTGACTCTTTTTCAGTACGTGGAGTCCCCCCTATTTTTACCCTCCCCCCAAAGAGAGTGGAGGTGGACCCCAATGGCAGCGTCAATCTGACCTGCGTGGCGGTCGGGTCCCCCATGCCACACGTTATGTGGCGGGATGGTGCCACGGAACTCGGAAAGCCTGTCATAGGAAAGAATGTCCTCCAACTTAAGAACGTCACCGAGAGCAAGAACTACACATGCGTGGCGTCATCTTACTTAGGAAACATCGAACACATCGGGGAGGTCATCATTAAAGGTAAAATGTCTGTACAGCGACATTTGGACTGTTTCTTTAGAAATTACACTCTGGAAAGGTGTGTTCCCTGAACGTCTGCTCCCTATATAAACAGTATAATTATCACACTCAATTAAGGGGCCCTCTGAGAGGCACAGGGGTGTGTTCCCTGAACGTGTCTACTCCAGTATATAAACAGTATAATTATCACACTCAATTAAGGGGCCCTCTGAGGGGCACAGGTAGCATTTACCTGTGTCACCTGTGTTTTAAACTGCATTTATAAGACTGTGACAAAGACTTATATAGGAAAAATCTTAGCATTTAGTCCTATAAAATGAATATAATCTTGTTAAAATTTTTAAATATTTTCTACTTAAATTTTCAAAGTATTTACTAGGTATTTTAATCAATTTATATTTATCAATGTTTCAAAAATCTTAGTTAATACCAATAATTCCTATGAAATGAATTAAATATTATTCAAATTTTTAAATATTTTTACTCAAATTTTCAAAGTATATTTATTTTAATTTTGTAGTACAAAATAATATCTTTGTTAAGGGAGGTTTTTGCTTCCCGCGTCACAAATAACTATAATAGTTATTTGTGACGCGCCAAGCAAAAACCTCCCTTAATGAAGAATTTTGACATTTTCAGTTTTTAGCTCACCTGAGCCAAAGGCTCAAGTGAGCTTTTCTGATCACATTTTGCCCATCGTCCATCCGCCTAGCTGTCCTTCTGTCTGTAAACAATTTTTTCAAAATGCTATTCCTCCTACAGTTTTGGTCTGATTTCAATATAACTTGGCACACAAGTAGACTACACTAAGATACATAATTCTGTTTATCGGTTTTTGATTTCAATAAATGGTGTTGCCTTGGTAACTAAAAATAGAAATTTCTGTGAATTTCTTTCAAAATGCTACTCCTCCTACAGTTTTGGTCTGATTTCAATATAACTTGGCACACAAGTAGACTACACTAAGATCCATAATTCTGTATATCAGTTTTTGATTTTGATAAATGGTGTTGCCGTGATTACTTAAAATAGAAATTTCTGTGAAATTCTTTCAAAATGCTACTCCTCCTACAGTTTTGGTCTGATTTCAATGTAACTTAGCACACAAGTAGTCTACACTAAGATCCATAATTGTGTGTATCGGTTTTTGATTTCCATGAACGGTGTTATCGTGGTTACTGAAAATAGAAATTTCATTAAAATGGTTTCAAAATGCTACTCCTCCTACAGTTTTATTCTGATTTCAATATTACTTGGCACACAAGTAGACTACACTAAGATCCATAATTGTGTATATCGGTTTTTGATTTCCATGAACGGTGTTATCGTGGTTACTAAAAATAGAAATTTCATTAAAATGGTTTCAAAATGCTACTCCTCCTACAGTTTTGTTCTGATTTCAATATTACTTGGCACACAAGTAGTCTACACTAAGATCCATAATTGTGTGTATCGGTTTTTGATTTCCATGAACGGTGTTATCGTGGCTACTAAAAATAGAAATTTCATTAAAATGGTTTCAAAATGCTACTCCTCCTACAGTTTTGTTCTGATTTCAATATTACTTGGCACACAAGTAGACTACACTAAGATCCATAATTGTGTGTATCGGTTTTTGATTTCCATGAATGGTGTTGCCGTGGTTACTAAACTAAAAATGTCTATAACATTGTTTCAAAATGCTACTCCTCCTACAGTTTTGGTCTGATTTCAATATAACTTGGCACACAAGTAGACTACACTACGAACATAAAGAGACTTTATCAAGGATCATTATTCTATTTATTGCTGTTGTAAAGTTCCAATTCCCAACTGCTTAAGTACTTTTCTTTCCCGTTGCTATAAGTACAAACCAGTAGAGCTTCAGTCTCGACAGAGACTTCTGGTTCTGATTTATATTACAATATCTTGCACATTTTTTGTTCAATATGGCTTTTTAAAATACTCCCCTTTTTGAGATATAAAGCATCAAATATTTAGCGTTCTGGCCCCTTGTAACCCCTAATTACGTAACATATGATCAAAATTTTATAATTTATTGTTGAAAATCATTAAGATGAATATCTTTGGTTCTGTTATGTATCTCAAAATATTGATCATTAAGGTGTTAAAAATGAAAGACTTTTGGCCCCTCTGCATGAGCACCTAATTTGAAGAGCCAGCCCCTTTTTCTTGATATCAAAAGAGAGGTCTTGTGATTTTGAAGACTTTTTGTTCAACATTTATTCAGCATCTGGCCCCTTGCAACCCTTAATTACGTAACGTGATAAAAATTTTACAATATATTGTTGCAAATTGTTAAGATGAATACCTTTGCATCTGTAATGTATCACAAAAAATTAATCATTAAGGTGCTAAAGATGAAAGACTTTTGGCCCCTCTGAGCCCCTAATTTGAAGAGTCAGCCCCTGTTTCTTGATATCAAATGAAAGGTCTTGTGATTTCAAAGACTTTTTGTTCAACACCTATTCAGAGATTACATTCCATTATGGAGATATGTTGAATGGAAATATTTAGGGGCCATCCCTATAAGTCCATAATGGGTCATTTTACTTAAATTAAAAGTATATTGTTTAGAACATTATTCTAACAATCTTCTGTTCAGTATTGCTGATCAAAATATTCCTTCCATCATCAAATATCTAGCATTCTGGCCCCTTGCAACCCTTAATTACGTAACATGTGATAAAAATTTTACAATATATTGTTGCAAATTGTTAAGATGAATATCTTTGCTTCTGTAATGTATCACAAAAAATTGATCATTAAGGTGTTAAAGATGAAAGACTTTTGGCCCCTCTGAGCCCCTAATTGGAAGAGTCAGCCCCTATTTCTTGATATCAAATGAAAGGTCTTGTGATTTCAGAGACTTTTTGTTCAACACCTATTCAGAGATTTCTTTTCGTTGTGGAGATATGCTCAATGGAAATATTAAGGGGCCATCCCTACAAGTCCTTAATAGGGCAATTTTATAAAAATTCAAAGTTTGAATATTGTTTAGAACATTATTCTGACTATCTTTTGTTCAGTGTTGATTATCAAAATATTCCCCCATTTCGAGATAAAAAGCATCAAATATTTAGCATTCTGGCCCCTTGTGACCCGTAATTATGTAACATATGATCAAAGAATGGGTGGACTTAACTGGCCAGTAAAATGTCGTAAATTTAAGTTTCATAAAATGTTTATTTTTTTCAATGGTGTAAACCTCCGATATCTTAACCGAGTATCCATGGTACGGATGTGAATTTAAAACGCTCTTTTCTGGGTTAACTAAATAAATATCGAAGTCATGGTACCTGAAGATTTCTTGAATATCAATAGATAATCAGGTTCACGCATTTTTCATCGTCTGAATACATAGTCAGCGCATGTTTGTCGGCTGTTCTTAAGAAAACTGTAGTTGTATACCCCGGTATTGAACAAAATAATGTTATATTAAAAGGAGAAGTGCCGACAAACGTGCGCCCATACTTAATTTAGCAAAAAAACATGTTCAAAACAAACTTCTCACTTCCATTGTTATGACTGCGATTGACCTGTTAAATATTACAATTCATCACGTGATGTCCACCTGCGAGTGTACTCGTGAAAGCAGTTACATTGTATTCTTCCATCTGACCTCGTTGTAAATCATATCTTTGAGCGTGTTTGGTTGCCGTTTGAGAAATTAGCAAATTATATTTTGTTTTAATTTTGCATGCCACCACACTTTTTATACGCCCGTCTTAAGACGGGACGTATTATGTTATAGGCTTCGTGCCCGTCCGTCTGTCCGTCTGTCTGTTAGCTTTTTCGTTTCCGGCTCATAACTTTAATACTATTAGGCCTAGGATTATCAAACTTTGTCATCTGATGCATCTTGGGTAGAAGGTGTGTCGTGCACAAAAAGTACCGTATATACTCGCCTATAAGTCGGTTTTTTGAGAGTTAATATCTAGTCCTAAATCCGTGTCCGACTTATAGGCGAGCTATAAAAAGAATGGTATTATATGAGGTCAGTTCATCTGAAAAAAAGCTGATTATGTACAACCGACTTATAGGCGGACCGACTTATAGGCGAGTATATACGGTAGGTCGCTCTGACTTTTTATTAAGAAGTTATAGCCAAATATGGAAAAATCCTTTCCGGCCCATAACTAGAAAACTATAAGACTAACAATCATCAAACTTGGCCAGTTTATGCATCTTAGGTAGAAGGTGTGTCGCGACCTATTTCAAGGTCACTGTGACCTTTAATTTAAGTGAAATTTTAAAAAAAAAAGTGTCTTTTTACTATTCATTTAAGCATCCCAAATAATGTAAGAGTATTGCTCTCTTCTTATTAAAAAAAGTGTTAAATCAAGAAAATACTTATTTTTTTAAGCATATACTTGACAGCAATCTATAACAAATATATGTTAGAGAAATCCTACCTCTCCCTTGAGTGTAATTATCAAGCACTGGTCAAGAAGAATTTGGTAACAGAAAATTGCATGTCAAGTTAGAGAGAAATTAATGAGTTTTGAGTGTGAGGATCTAACTGATAGAACATCAGTGTTATCTACATCCCTTGGGTATTGGGCAGATGGGTAAGCCTGTTGGATTAAAAATAGCTCTTGTTGGCTAGCCTAAGTTTTAAAATGAATTTGATGAAAAGTAATTAAAACTAATTTGATATTGCATAATAGACTAATCTGATATTATATAATATTATTAATTTAAAAACTAATTTTAAGGGGTGGGGGGAATCAGCATTTCCATATGAATTACATATTAAAACCTGTCGGACATTAAATCTCAACCAAAAAAAATTGTTGAATATTTTATATGTTTAGAAAAAAATTTATGGTAGATAGTGCAGACCCATTCATCTCTTGGTAGTAATGAGTAGACAAGCATCCAGTTAAAGATTAATTAATGAGTTCAATGTAGGAAGGCTAGCTGATCAAGTGGCTTATCTGTATCCTTTGGGGATTAGACAGAAGAAGTGCTGGTCAGTTTATAGCATATGTCATTTGATGGCCAGGCCTTTTCTTTTCAAAATTAATTTGGTATAGATTAAGATGTTAAGAATAATTTGATATTGTTTAATATGATGGGCATTTGACAAGGTCTAACACAACCAGCATAGAAATCTATTAATGATGTAATATTTATTATAATTAATGCCTAGATAACAGGAAATGGATAAATATTTGAAGGAATGGAAAAATCATGGAAATCTTGGAATCAAGGTTGACGTGATTTTCTTGCACACTAAAATGTTCAAGAAAATTGTATTTTTTTTGACGGGCGTATCATGCTGTGGCGCGGCACTTTATTAAATAATATCATATTGACATCGCTGTAATTTTTATGCTTAACACCTATTCAACTCTTTGGAGAGAGAGAGGGATAGAGAGAGAGAGATGTCAACAATGACGTGGATCGATAGCCCCGCCTTCTATAAATATTGATTATGTGACCTAAAAACCACTCCGGGTACATGTCAAATTCCGGAAGACGAAATTTATGTATCGTTACTTTAATTTTGATAAATGGCAACAGGGCATTGATTTTGTACAAATGTTCTACCTAATATAACCAAGTATATTTAGCTCTATCCAGTGCTTGTAATATATTTTGGATTCACTTATTTACAGCTTGGTAGAGGAGTCGCAAAAAGATCCAAAAAGGGCGTTAAGTCCACCCATTCTTTTGTAATTTTGAGAACTAACTGTGACTAGAAAAAACAGGTTAATTATATGTAGAAAAAGAGGTTAGGACATTCATTTTAGTTATACTGAAGTTCAAATTGATTGAAAGAACAAATAAAAATATTAGATTGTGCTAAAATGAACATGCTTCATTTAATCACATATACATCCAATGTGTATACATATTTTTCGATTCACAGAAACTGTGCAATTAAATGTTAATGGCTATTTCACCCCACTTAATTTAGTCAGTCTGCAAAATCATGATCAATAAGTTTTCTTTTAAAAAAATATTGCTAAATGGTAAGTTTTTACTTAACTTACTCTTGTATTCTATTATTTTTATTGAATAAATGGTTGCCATGACATAAGACGAATGGATAAAAAATGAGTGTGAATTAGAATAGAAAAAAATAAAACAATGAAAAATTGATTGCTGAGAACAAGAGAAAAACAATTATAAGTAAAAATCTAGAAATAATGTAGTATATTTATTGTTACAATAAAACTCGTTCAGTACGAACATGGATATAGCGAATTCACGGATATAGCGAAGTTTTTATGGAAACTTGGCAAAATTCTTAACAAATTTTTGTAAAATTTTACGGTTATAACGAACTCTGATATAACGAATTTACGGATATAGCGAACTGATTTTGAGTCCCGTTGAGGTTAAATAGAATGAAATTTACATCTTTTATAATGAATCTTCAAAGATTATTAAAAAAATGATAAATTGAACTTGCTTTATTTCCTTTTAGCATTTGTATATAAAATTCAATTCATAAGAAAACCTTAGTTATCGAAGATATGTCTTGTAATATTTGCTTCACTAACATAGTTGGTTGTAATACTTGAAGAAAAACATGCATAATGCGAATTCGCTGTAATGGTTATACGAATTCGTTGTATGGATATAACGAATTACGGATATAGCGAATTAAATTCACCAGTCCCCAGGACTTCACTATAACCGAGTTTTACTGTACTAGTAGATAGAACTTTCATACTTGCAGTTATTGCATGAACCTGTGATACGATATTGCATATAAATGGATTAATTTATCCACATGCATGATTTCGCGTTATTCCTAAATATTGATAAGAGTTTTAAAAAATCTTTTGTTTCCATGAGAAAAAAAATATGGTGAGCGGATCAGATTTTTAAAGTACTGGTAGCTAGAAATTGTACATTCTGAAATTTATATAATACTAGATAGCACTGCCACATAACCAAACTATAGATGTAGAAATTGCTGCAATGCAACTTTCATTGGTCGAAGCATAAAATTTCAAAAAGCCAAAATGCTGCAAAGCAATTGCAAATTTGACAGCAATAGCGATACTCTTCCCAAAGCTTTGCTGCAATTTGATAAGCGACGGCAGTTTCTTATGCAGCTAGTAGTAAAGTAATATTTGTTTCATTTTAGGCAGAAGAAAATTAAAAAAAAAAATTAATAGCTAATTAATTTTAAAAAAATGAGGCACATATTTGATATTTCCACTCTACTTTTCAGTCGAACCCCGTAACATTTTTGCGGAAGTTACAGGACCTAACACTATAGATGTATCCTGGGACCCACCGAGTCAGACCAAAAACGTGGTTACTAAATACTTTGTGTACTACAACGATACCTACCTGAAGCAGGAGAGCCATTTGGTAGTCCAGGGCACGGAGACCAAGTGTCAACTCGAGGAACTGACCCCCGACACTGTGTATACCATCAAAGTCTCCGCAATCTCCAATAAAGGTGAAGGTGCCGCCACGCGGATAATCCAGGCCAAGACGCTGCCATTTGGTATGTTTATAAATAAATCGTATTCATACACGACCTTACTGAATTTCCACGTCAAATCTGTGTACAATATCACAGAACTTGGGAAAGAAAAAAACCTTAGTGTTCACAGTTGAAAAAACTTTTTCTCTCTTTTTTTTTTTTTGTATTTTATATATATTGTTCACTTGTGGTATTCCCCCCTAGTCACTCACTGAATGAGATCCAGTAGTAAAATTTCTTTATATTTGTGTTTTTATATGTTGTTGTGAACATTGTTTCTTCATCAATCACTGAAATTGCAATTCATGACTGTTTTAATGATTTTCTGGATAGCCCATGAAATGTTGGGTAAGTGTACGTGAGGATAGTTCTGTTAGAGGATTGGGTATTTGGTTATAAACAGTAGTTCGGATTTTAATTTTAGGACAAGGTCATTTTTTCTATTAAAAAAAATTATAGAAATAGAGTTTCCAATGTTTATAAATCACTATACAATACATGAAAGGTCAGGTTATGTAATAAAAATAGATTTTAAATTGACATTTTTAAAATGGAATAAAACTCATGCAATCATACAGTATTCAAGTAATGCAGGCATTAATCATGGGGTTGGGAAATTAATATTATTGGAAAGTTCTAATTGGGTCAAATGTCATAACACCTTTCTAAAGATAACATCAATTAGAGGCATGTTTTATCATTAATTTTCATTAACCATATATTATGTGAGACATACATACTTAAGTTTTGCTGTGAGTCATATCTTTTATTTGATGATGTGAATGAATTGGAAACCCAATTTTACAGTGCCTGACGAGCCTACAAATGTGACGGCCGAAGCCATTAACTCGACGGCCATGTTTGTGGACTGGCAGCCACCAGAGGGCAGAGGTAATGGAATTATCCGCGGATACTACGTCTACTACTACGAGACCAAAGACGAAATGGTAGGACAGGAGCTGGTACACGATACACACGACGGAAACAGGAACGAAGCTGTCATCACAAACCTGAAGGCTGACACCCAGTATTCCGTGCAGGTAGCAGGGTACACAAGGAGGGGAGATGGAAAACGCAGCAAAAAGAAGATTGTCAGTACAAAAGGGGCTGGTAAGATATTCAGCAAGGAGTGTATCAAACAGACTGAATGTTCCCTGTTAGATACAGTAAAACTGGTTTACCGTAGTATGAACACGGATATTGAAGTCATTTTGGATCCCCAGCTATAGAAATTTAATGAATTTCTTATAAGGTTATATCAGAATAATTTAATTCTGGTTGTAACGCTGTATCTGATTGGATGAAAAATTACTTTATATCGTTTAAAATGGGTTGCCTGCATCACAATGAATTGCGTCAAAAACTTATCAATCTGCCCGACATTACATTTAAATATTTGTACTAACTGAAGTCATTTTGTTGAACAGTCATCTTTTTTTCTTACATCAAATGACTGAAAATTAAATTATAAGCAATGAATTTAATAGGTACCCATTTTATACAGTGCAAACTGGGTTAGAACAGTTTACGCTTTTTTATAAACTGCTTCGCGGTTTATAAAGCGTAAACTGCCCCAACCCAGTTTATACCGTATAAAATGGGTAGCTATTAAATTCATTCCTTAATTACTTATATAGCGAAGTAATTTCATAGGTCCCAGTCACTTCGTTTTAACCAAACTGTATAGATTTCCTGAAGTCTTCTTCCACCTGCAAGACCGATAGGGAACAGTTTATAAGGAGATTATGGCTTTGGTGGAGTTTAGCAGTTAATGGATATGATGAAAACTTAGGGAATTGATCAAATGTGATGACTTGTTACACCAGAGGACTAAATTGATTATGCTTCCGTATTGATCTTCTGAATTTTAGATGAAATACAGATATTACATGCTCATTGTCTCCCACATAAAGAAGGAAAACAATTAATATTGCATAACTTGTCATGCTATTTTATGCAAAAGAAGGAAAGTTAGTAGGTTCAGAAATGTAATGTTAAGTTAAATGGAAATATCACAGAGATTTTCTTCATAGAAGAGTGCTTTGAAATTCTTAATAGGAAAGTTACAGACTGAGACTGATATAGATTTTATATGAAAGAGAAATATTAATTACATATATAAATAGGAAATATATTGACCAAGTCTCAAGAATGTACAGATATCTTCATGTGAATGAAAATTTAATGAGAGGCGCTGTTTTATAGTGCCCACGCCTCCGAGGGATCTGAATGCAGTCCTGCTGGATGAGGACCGCCCACAAGTTCACGTGACCTGGAAGATTCCCAAGGACGTCCACGGGGAGCTAATGGGGTACCAGGTGATCTGGGGCCGCAAGGGGAAATCCTACCAAATGCTGAACCTCCCAGCCATGAGACAGAGCTACGTCTCAGATATCCTAGGTTTGTGAATATGATTTGAACTTGTATATAGAGTTACTGGGAATCAAATGATTTATGTATAAGGAAAAGGGTACCTACATATAGTATCTTTGCACTTTGAAATATCTTGTTTTTATTTCTGTATGCTGTTCCTATTTTGTTCAGATAAGGGGGCTACATATGAATTCAGAGTGAAGGCTAAGAATGAAGTTGGACTTGGTGAGAGGGCATCAGCTGTAATTATCACCCCTGATGGAGGTATGTTGTCATTTTGATTTTTGCTTTTTAATTGTCCATAATAAATCTAAAAGTTTTAATGTAAAGTGCCTTTACATTGTTTACATAGAATATTTTACTCTGGAGTTCACTATAAAAATTTAGCTCTACTGATCTAAGAGACCTATGTTGCCATAGTTATGTTACGATTTATGATTTTGATATTTAATAGTTTAATGTCATATGTTTTTATTGACGTGTTGTCAATCGGAGTTTCCTAGAGTCCATTAGTGTGGAATGTAAGATAACAAATAATCTTATACAAAAGATTAATATGAAAACAGGCAGTATTCTAAATCGTAACTTTTGTAAATAACCTACTTTTTATGTTATTCCGACATTATAAATACTAGTATGGTCCTCCAACTGACATAACTCCAATTCCGGCGAATCTCGCTTTGTTTTTTAATACATCAAGATTGTTTAGCACAATAAACTTCCGGTGCAGGACTAATTGCGGGAAAGGGGAGCAGATCGTGCGTCATTTCTCTGGCAACGTAATATGATATAAACAGCGGTCAGCTGTCATCTGCAGGTTTTGCTCACTGCCTTAATTTGACGGGGATGAGAAAAATGGAAACCTAAAGCATACATGCAGATGGGTAATTAATTAAAGTGATTAATTTATTGATATTGGGAACTGATGCCTGTTGTTATGTAAATTTATTAGCTCACCTGAGCCTAAGGCTCAAGTGAGCTTTTCTCATCAAAATTTGTTCGTCGTCTGTCGTTGTCGTTGTAAACTTTTCACATTTTCTTCTTCTTCTCAAGAACCACTGGGCCAATTTCAACCAAACTTGCTACAAAGTATCCTTGGGTGAAGGGGATTCAAGTTTGTTCAAATAAAGGGCCACCCCCTCTTCCAAGGGGAGATAATTATGAATTAGTAAAAATTTAATGGAATTTTTTAAAAATCTTCTTCTCATGAACCACTGGTCCAGGAAAGATAATACTCATGTGAAATCAATGTGAAATCATCCTCAGGTAGTGTAGATTCAAGTTTGTTCAAATCATGACCCCCCAGGGGTAGGATGGGGCCACAATGGCCGATCAAAGTTTTACATAGGAGTATATAGGAAAAAATCTTCAAAAATCTTCTTCTCAAGAACCACTGGGCCAGGAAAAATGAAACTCTTGTGTAATCAGCTTCAGGTAGTGTAGATTCAAATTTGTTCAAATCATTACCCCCCAGGGGTAGGGTGGGGACACAATGGCAGATCAAAGTTTTACATAGGAGTATATAGGAAAATTCTTTAAAAATATCTTCTTCTCAAGAACCACTGGGCCAGGAAAGATAATACTCATGTGGAATCATCTTCAGGTAGTATAGATTCAAGTATGTTCACATGATGACCCCCAGGTTAGGGTAGGGCCACAATGGCCGATCAAAGTTTTACATAGGAGTTTATAGGAAAAATCTTTAAAAATCTTCTTCTCAAGAACCACTGGGCCAAGAAAGATGAAACTCATGTGGAATCATCCTCAGGTGGTGTAGATTTACTTTTGTTCTAATCATGACCCCCGGGGTTAGGGTAGGGCAACAATGGCCGATCAAAGTTTTACATAGGAGTATATAGGAAAAATCTTTAAAAATCTTCTTCTCAAGAACCACTGGGCCAGGAAAGCTGAAACTTATGTGGAAGCATCCTTGGGTAGTGTAGATATAAAATTGTTAAAATCATGACCCCCGGGGGTAGGGCGGGGCCACAATAGGGAATCCAATTTTTACATGGAAATATATAGGAAAAATCTTTGAAAATCTTCTTCTCAAGAACCACAGGTCCAGAAAAGCCGAAACTTATGTGGAAGCATCCTTGGGTAGTGTAGATATTAAATTGTTAAAATCATGACCCCCGGGGGTAGGGCGGGGCCACAATAGGGAATCCAAGTTTTACATAGAAATATAAAGAACAAATCATTAAAAATCTTCTTCTCAAGAACCACTGGGCCAGGAAAGCTGAAACGTATGTGGAAGCATCCTTGGGTAGTGTAGATATTAAATTGTTAAAATCATGACCCCTGGGGGTAGGGCGGGGACACAATAGGGAATCCAAGTTTTACATAGATATACACTGTATTTTGGAAAAATCTTTTTAGAATCTTCATCTGAAGAACCACTGGGCCAGCTGAAACTTATGTCGTAGCATCCTGGGGTAGTGTAGATTCTAAAGTATTAAAATCATAAAAGGGAAGAGGGTAGTGGGGTACTATAGGTATAGCAAGAGGGGAAATCTGGTAAAAAACTGCATCACCCAAGTTACTCAGGTGAGCGATGTGGCCCAT